TTCTCATTCTCTTTCACTCTCATTAACCCTTTTGTGTCTTAGTGACATTATCGACTTGCTTGGGGTAAAATGATTAAAAAAAAAAAAAGAAGCCTACCCGTGATACCAGTGGATATATTGAAGCCGTGTTTGTTTAACAAACATGTACGCAAAAACATGGCCACTTAACTCAGGCCAGCTTTTTTCCCTCCTGGGTAGTTTGTTGAAGAAAGGATCCACAGGCAAAATGCGGATAATGTAACGGTTATCAGCGTGAGAAATGAAATCGGCGAGCCGAGTTCAAGTTCTAACCGAGTCTATTGCATTCATTTTCATCCTAAAAGTTATAAATCCACCTCTTATCCCAACCTTCAATTTTGGATTAACTAGCAGAATAAATTTGCGCTCTAATCTTATTTGACGGTCAATCGGAGGTGGGAGGATTCAAAATCGCAGAGAAGATAGTGGAAAACAACTCCCAGAGAATAAATCAAAGGAATGTGTGGAGACCCATTATTGACTACGTCTTGAAGAGACTTATAATAAAAAATTAAACAGTAAATTATCTAAAATGAAGCCAATAAAGACGGCTTATATGTTTTTCTGTCTTAGTAGTTAGTTTGAGTTCTTATTGACAGCTCATCTAAAAAAATGACCTATTATCTGTTGTTAATTGGAGCAAGAAATGGCTTGTTAATTTTCACGACTCCAAACGAAACTGCTATCTATTAATCTTCTGGGATAATCCTTTTAGTTTTTCATCAGATTGACTGATGCTAACCTTCAGGAAAATGACTCATTGCGCTTTCATGAATTAAGGTTTTCCGCTGACATGAAATGGAAAGATTAAAATATTGAATCCATTGCTCGTTCTATTGTGTCGTGTTAGTCGTGGGTTCACTGTGTCGTGCTAGATAATTTTTTCCCGCCAGAATATATCTTACAAATTTATACCGTCTATGCATGTAATATTGTCGCTATATCTGGTCTGATGCTTCTGCTATGTATTTAGAGATTCTTGATAAAATTTAAAGAAGAATCTGCAATATTATTGGTCCTGACATGGCATCTCGTCGACTTGAGTCGTAACGAAGCTTCCTTGTGCCTTTTCTATAAATGTTTTCATCGTAATTGTTCTGATATATTTAAGAACTTGACTCGATTTCTTAGGCTAATGTTTCGCTCTTGAACGCCTGTAAATTTATATTTTGAAAAGGTAAAAATTAATGGATTCTATTCGAACTGAGCAAGACAGATAATAGAGCAACATCAATCGCCATCTTCTGTCTTCCTAAATCCTGTTTTTTTATTATGTACATCCTATACTTTTCAATACTTTTTTTTTAAATAACATTCTGATGTGAAAAGGTTTTTGACGAACCCTTGAATCTGTTTTTCATTATAACAGTTATTTATATAGTTGCCCAACTTTTCCTCTTTTTAGTTTCCGAATGGCTCGAAAGCAAAAGATCCATATCATCTTTTCTTAAATTAATTTAACGTAAAATCCTTATCAAATTTGTCAGGAAATAAGATAAAGATTTACGTTAAATTCAATACAGAGAAGATGGTAGAATCTATAATTTATGAATTAGAAAAAAGATACAGAATAAATATTAACGGCTTTTTTAAAAGTCAAACATTTTCATTGTTTTCTTCCATCACGAGATACGCCAGTTTAGTATAAAAAATACGAAAGATCTATTATTTAAACATACACACATATACATACACACATATTCTTTCGTTTTTTTAATTTGATGAAGCCTAGAAAGGCGAAACACATTATCAAAGCTAGTTTCATTGAAACGGTTTTCTATTTGCTATATTTCTTTATATATATATATATGTATATATATATATATATATATATATATATATATATATTATTATTATTATTATTATTTTATATGTATATATTTTTTATATGCGCGGTACTTAGTGGGAAGCGCACAATATCAGTGATAGAGCTAACATAATAAGTTAAATAGATATGAGTTTGTCTTTTGCCTGATGTTCGCAAAAGCATCAAACCCAGGGTCACAAACTCATATTCATACAACTTAATATATATATATATATATATATATATATATATATGCACCTTAATTAAAAATGATGTAAAGAATTTTTCATTAAAAATTCTTTACAACACTTACAAATACAATTCTTTACTCAGGATATTATTATTATTATTATTATTATTGTTTTATGAATTTTTAGTTATTATTATTATTATTAGTCTTTAAAATAATGTTGAAGTGTCATAGCCGCATATGTGAGCGTAAATTGTATTCTTACATTTTGCCAGAGTTCCGCCCATTTCTCCCCCCCCCACCTCAATCTTATTTCTTTTCTGTTTTGCTTTCGTATTTCTTCACTTTCTTTTCTTTCGTTCTCTTTGTCTAATTTGCTCTTCTACTCTCCTGTAAATATACTTGATAAATAGGTCAGAATGTCTACTCCCATCCACGGCTAGTATTATTTCGATATGTCTCTTTATAAAGATAGGTATAAATATCTTTCTATTCCCCTTTTTTGCCTTCCTAACTTTGTTTACTTATCTTTCGTTTTCCCCTCTCTCCACCACCTTAACCCTTTTTAAATAAATAGCTTTTTCATCTCTTCCGGACCCAAAATTAAACCTACCCCCTCAAACAAATGTGTGCATAAATTAAAAATAATAATGTATAAATCTTTTATACCTGGAAAATTTGTCATCCATTTATTTGTATGTAAATTGACAATCTGATGAATTAAGATCGGGATCTGAGTCCTAAGGAAATAAATTATAATTATGTAACCTTAAAGTTGTCTTTTTTCTTAATAATAATAATACATACATACATACATACATACATACATACATACATACATACATATATATATATATATATATATATATATAGGACTGCTCAACTCATTGTATCGAGCACTTTATTTAATTATATTGCCTACTCGTATCGGGGTTTTTTTCTTTGGGTTTTGGACTTGCATGCTAGACGATTATTTTCGGCTAACGTACATGTTCTTGGTTCTTTCTTTTTTACCCCCCCTTTGGTATTGGTTTGATTATTTGCAAATCAAAACACTGAATGTTCTCCGAACGAGTATAGTTTCTTATATTTATAAGATTACTACTACTACTACTACTAATATATATATATATATATTGATCCGTAGGGGCTAATGTCCTTATATCAGAACGCGTAGAGTAAAATAATATTTAGCTAGTTACTATGACCAACTGTTAATGATTTCGATTTAACACACTTCTGGCTTTGTGCTAGAATATGCTTGGCTTAGCGAACACACACACATAAACACACGCACACATATATATATATATATATATATATATATATATATATATATATATATATATATATATATATATGTGTATTTGGGAAGCAATCCCTCTTTTATACATGTTTCGTTAAAGACAACTGACAATGTACTGCGATTGTGCTTAGGTAGTTATAAAACTATTATTAACTAGTGTCTGTTTTGCATTGTTAAGTTCTTTAAGGAAAAATAGACGAGAGGATGAATACTGGTGTGTTCAATTTAGGAAAATTTTATATCTAAGACGGTATTCACTCTTAACATTAAGGTGGCATGAGTTTCTGCTGGTGAGTTTTTTTTAATATTTTGAGGTGGTGAAAATGTTATTTCTGTATTCTACGAGAACATCTATGAATGGGAGTTTATTTTTTGGGACTCAGTTCGTTGGTAAAGTTAAGAACAATTTTTTTTAAAAACGGGGTTTTGAGATTTTCTATTTCTTGTTTGTTTCTCGCTAACATTGGAGAAGCACAGATCGAGCGGATTTCCGATACTAACACCGTTAGTTTGAGTGTAAATATTGCCATTATGACCGTAGAAGCGGACTTTGTGCACACGTAATAATTTTTCAGATATGTTCAAAAAAAGTTCTTGAGAAATTTGTTGTTTAAAAACTGTCATTTGACATTGCTAAACAGACGCTTCCTCTGGAGCTAAATGGTATAGCACGTTAGGCTATATGACGGTTACCGCGTCGGATACATGTTCGGAAAATATGTGTCGGAGGGTACATATTTTCTAAGATAATTTATCGGACATTCAGGCCAGTAAATGTAATTAATACTGCTTATTATAAACAGAGTATTTACTTAGATAACTGTATCTATAAAAATAGCAAATCTTAGGACTACCCGATTCAGACCCTTGGGATTGGTGTGCCGGTAAAATAACTAAATCTAAATCCAGAAGGTGGGGTACTGCTTGAGGGGATGGTTCCCCACTCGGCCCAGGCTTGAGCTAATATAATTTTCAAAAGCCTGCATTCTGACGCTTTGACTCTTCTTCACGGTAGTGGGATGTGACACAAAGTCGTTTTTAATGTGGGGTGTCAATATGCTTATATATAGGTCAAGGTCAAAGATTGTCCAATCCACCTGAGCAGTATTATACTGGCGTCCGTGAATTGATCGAATATACAATCACGTCAGAAAGGTAAAGAACAGACACTAAACTTTAATCCTAGCAGAAGTGACGTAAGTCCATCATTTTTTTAACGGATATTATGCTAGGACTCTGTTATATAAATATAAAAGAATCATAAGTAATTAAATACTGTTGTCACATTTGTATCGGTGGTCGATTTTCATGGGATTTAATTTTTGTGTTTAATGGTAAAATTTGGGGCCGTGAAAGTGTTGGTGACTGACATTGTCTATACAAAAATCCCTTTTGGCGTTGTATCAACGCCCACAAACATTAACTGCATCAAATCCGTTTTTTAAGCTAAATACGTTTATTTTGCAAGATTAAAGGCGTATTGCATCAATCAATGCTCAAGGTGCTTTGACTGTCCGCGTCCACACTGCTTAACTGGCAAATGATCACCAAATCTAAAAATCAGTTTCAGAAGATTAACCAATTTTTATTTCTCTTTTGTCAATGTCAAATCAAGCTGAGCTTTGAGAATAACTTTCATCAAGTATTCTCAAGTTGAGAAGATATTTGTCACCTGTGCCTTACGGCCACATCACGTTGAAACACCGATTCCCGTACGATCACTGAAGTTAAGCCACGTCGAGCCGGGTCAAGTAAGTAGATGGGTGACCACTTAAGAATACCAGGTGCTGTAAACTTGGATGTGCGGAAGGTGTAAATATAAAATGGCTCGGAATAGTTAATCAGAAAGTTGAGTTCCAATTCCCGTTGGGTACATTAAATTCCTGTACCATTAGGAAAGGCATGAATCCACCTCTCCTTCCATCGTCTATGGTAAAGACCTGTATAACTAAACCATCATCATCTAAAAACAAATTCTAACAATTTCAAAAATATTTTCTGGCATAAATAACCAGCAAAGGGTTGATAAGCCGTAAACGAGTCAACCAATAATCCAATCCGATGAACAGTATTATATTTTTATAAGTGTGTAATTAGTATCTTCATTGGTTCTTCTTCGTTATGTGCCGTGTCCGCTTAGGACGTAGGAGATCACGGCTCTCCACAGCTTCATGTATCTTGGAGCTCTTAATAATCTTTGTCTTCTGTTATTTCTCCTAAACCGTGTTCCGCCTCAATCTCAAATAAATATGTTAAGCATTGTATTTCTCTGTTCCTCTAGCCTACTATCTGTCCTGTGAGTATCAGATTTTCCAAACCTTTCTTCCTCATTATGTGCCCCAGAAACCTCATCTGTCTCTCCTTGATATTAAGTATTAGTTTCCTTTTTGTTTCCGTTTTCTCCAAAACTTCGTCGTTGCTCACATGCTCGGTCCACGGCATGCTCAGCATCCTTCTGTATAACCACATTATTGGTTAGCTGTTTGAAAACTACACATTTAAATTATTAGTATTATTATCTGTTTAACCTCTAAATTTATTTAATATCTTAGTATTTACATACTTCACTACGTAACACGTGTGGGTGTTATGTCCCAAAAGAGTAAAAATATCAAATAAAATTTCATATCCTTGGAAAGATGAAAGTCTGTGTGTGGAATGTGGGGGGGGGTAATAAAACTGAAGAGAGTTGCTTCCATTCCTTCCTCTGTTTTTTCTTGCTTACGGTCAAATCAGGCTGAACACAGCTTTTGTCATTAGAAGATCGAAGTTAAACAATATCGAGTACGGCCATTACTTAGATGGGTGACCACTTGGAGATACCAGGTTGTGTAAGCGATCTCTTACAATCCGAACAATGTTCCGGCTTTAAATAACCTACAAAGGGTTGATAAGTCGTAAAGAAACAAATCAATCAATTACTTACACCTGCTTTTCTTTTTCGTTTTTCTCTCGCTTTCTTACTTACCCTCTACCTTTCCTTTTTCACATCTTCAATTTTCAATTTTCCTCATCTCTATTGATTATTCCAACTGTCCAATTTATAGAAAGGAACAGATAACCAGTTGATGACTCTCTCACTCAATCACTTACACACTCTCTCTCTGATATATATATATATATATATATATATATATATATATATATATACGTGTGTGCGTGCGTATATATATAAAAGTGGACATTGATTTGTTTCATGCTAAACGCAATTGTCAGACCTTGTAAACATCAATGCCTACATTTATATTTACATACGTTCTATCCTGATATTTTAGCCTATAATTATAGCACAATTTAAAAGTAGTTTTTATCATATATATATATATATATATATATATATATATATATACGTTATTTACATTATTCGAACTAATGTCCTCATCTTTGTCGCCATATTTATCACAACGTTTCGGCGGTTGTATGCTCCGGCCTTCTTCAGGTTGGAATTTCGAACTTAACCCTTTATTTCGCTCACTGGGGTAGACTGTTCTAGTTCCACGTGCCATATTTAATGGATGTCAGTTATCAGTTATCTCCTGTTAATTCCCCTCTGATGGTTCTCCACTGCCTCAACCGGGTATTGAACCCACACTCTTTGGGTCCTGTTACTGGATCTAACCAACGCCTTTATCCACTGTGCAATGTATCCTTGAGGACATCTGGTTATGAATTTCTGGGTATTATAAACCTAATGTCTTCAGCAACCATTTTTACCAGTGCTCGTATTGCAATTTTTGCTGTTATCATTATATGTTTTTACCAGAGCTCATATTGCAACTTTGCAGTTATCATTGCTTTTCTCTGGCACTCCTTATTACGGGTTCCCTTATTGTATTCATTTCTATGCTTGGTCGGCTCAGGAGATTTTTGTGGCCTAGCATATGTGTTGATTCCTTAATTTTACGAATTTTCGAATGGTGTTCCTTGTCTATGATCTCAACATGATCCCACAGATGGCAGTGATCTCCCTTCTCTCTCCATACGTGGTCAGCCACGCCTGATTTTTCTACTTTCCCTCGTGTTACAGCTTTCTGGTGTTCTTGAAGTCTTACCTTTAGAGGGCGACCTGTCTCTCCTTTATATTCCTTTCCGCAGCTGCACGGGATAGCGTACACACAGTCTTTAGTCATGTTCCTCTCTGTGGGGGGGGGGTCTCACTCGTGAGAGATATCTGCGAAGTGTTGTCACGCTTTTGAAGGTTGTCCTGATGTTATATGAACCGCAGATCCTTTGTATTTTCTCTGATAACCCCTTCACATAAGGCAGGCACACTGTTTTCTGAGTGTTGTTGTCCTCCTCCTCCTCTTGTACCCGCCTATCCCAGTTTTGGAGGGCCGCTGCCATGTACCCAGGGTAGTTGTTATGTTGTAGGGTACTACTTATACTGACCAATTCTTTATCTAACGTCTCTGGGTCGCCACTTATGACTTTTGCTCGGTGTTGTAAGCAACGGACGATCTCTTTCTTTACGCTGTATGGATGGTGGGAGTTGAAATTGAGGTACTGTCCAGTGAATGTCGGTTTACGGTATACGGATGTCTTAAACCCATGCTCTGTTCGAGATATTAGAACATCCAGGAATGGGAGTGTGTTGTTACTCTCTTTCTCCATCGTGAACTGTATCGAAGATCTTATTGATTTCACATGGTCCAGTAGAACCTGAACATCTTCCTGGTGTGGCCAGAGTATGAAGGTGTCATCTACATACCATAACCATATAGTTGGCTTTAGAGATATAGATTCTAATGCCATTTCCTCAAAGTATTCCATGTATATATTCACCATTGCTGGTGATAATAGCGAGCCCATTGCTAAGCCCTCATCCTGTCGATATATGTGTGATCCCATTCCGAAGTGTGTTGTTTGTGTACAGAAAGTCAACATCTCCATCAGATTATCTACTGGAATACTGGTCCGTTCTTCTAGGCATGAGTCAGAGGCCAATCTGTCTCTGACTACTGAGAATGTCTCCTCCGTGGGTAACTTGGTGAACAGACTCACCACGTCCAAGCTCACCATCTGGTTGGATAGGATGGGAGCATCTTTGATTATTTCCACGAAGTGGGCGGAGTTTCGGACACATGAAGGAGACTTTCTGATCAATGGGTCAATTATATCTACAAGCAAGCGACTCAGAGGGTGGCACACAGAGCCTTGGCAACTAACAATCGGCCGGAGCGGAATACCATCTTTGTGAATCTTAGGGAGACTGTATATGTGAGGTAGCTTGGTGTAACGCTGCGATAAGTGCCTATACGTCTTAGGTGCGAAGTGATCCTTGTTCTTGATTAGGATCTGTGACAGTTTGCGTTCCGTTTTCATAGTAGGATCCTTTTTAACTTTGCTGTAGCTACCATTGCTAATGAGGTCTTCCAGCTTTCTTGTATAATCTGATGTTCATCACTACAGTAGCATTACCTTTGTCAGCCGGTAGTATGATGATGTTTTCGTTCCTCTGTAGGAATCCGATCGCCAGCCTCTCCAGTTTCGTGATGTTTGACCTGGGCGGCTTGGCTCTCTCCAAGGTCTGTCTTACTTTCCATCTCAGTTCAGCCGCCTGAGCCTGAGGGATGTTCAAGACCACCTCCTCGACTCTGGTAATGTTGTCCAAGTATGGCACCCGCTTGATGGTTGTGGCGAAGTTGAGACCCTTATTCAAAACTGACTCCTCAGAGGCACTCAGCTGATATTGGCTGATGTTGACTACTGCTTTCACTGGTGGGTGATGGATCTTGTGCGTCACCTTCTGATCTTTCAATCTATTATCGCCCTTGTCCGAGAGGGAATCCAGTACAATCGTTGGATAAAACATCGACTACAAGCTCATATCTCCCAGACGCTCGAGGATTTCTTCAACAGAATTACTAATGAAGAAGACTAGAGAAGGATCCAAAATGACCTGGATAAATCCTTCAGACATGAATTTGATGTAGTCAAGGCTCGCCAAGTGCAAAAATTAAATAGATTGAAAGATCATTAGTCCGAATAATGTAAATAATGTACATAATATATATATATATATATATATATATATATATATATATATATATATATATATATATAATAATACTAATAATAGTTAGAATAGACTACAGCAATCCACCCCAAAACAAAACAAAACTATCAAATAAGCGCTACAAACAAATGTTTACTACGTTAATAAAAACACCGATTGAAATAAAAATAAAAAAAATAAATATATAAGATAAGAAATGAAAATAAAAAATTAAAATGAATAAAAACAAGCAAAATAATTTCAAATAAATAAATAGACAAATAAACGTCTTCCGGCAAAATAACCGCCAAAATAGACTACCCACAATGCACCACTGACTCGTATATATAAATAGCCGAGAAAAAAACAACAACACTCGTGGCCTGACAATTGCGTCTAACATGAAACAACCTGTCGCCTCGAAGTTGTTTTACTGGGTACATGAGTTTTTCACAGTGAAATTAATGTCAGCCGCTTATAATTTTTTAATGAATTTTTAAAGAATTCCGACATTATTTCTTATAAACGTTATATTTTTACTGGGCACCGCTGCTTGGGTTGATATCTGGGATTTCAAGGAGTGAAATGAATGTCAACCGATCCCTAACTATTATTCCTTACTAACGAAGAATCTGTGCCTCTGCCGACAGGAATCGTTCTTCTATTTCATTTTTTGAAAAAAAAAAACTACTCCTTTAACAGTAAGTGTCTTCTACGAATTGAACTTTGTCATCTCATGTTTCCCCGTGACGTAACAGGTCTGTGTGAGCTTTTGGTTTCAATATCATGCTCACTTAT